CGCGTTTTTCAAGAATGAAAATGCCAGCTAGGTGCCCAGTAGTGTTAAATTTGTGGAATAAAAAGACGCACAAAAAATTTTACACAATCGTGAAGTTTGAACAGTGTTCAAAAAAGATAGGTGAGATGTCCATGTGACGGTGCCTCCAACCATAAAGAATGTAACTAAGCCCGCAAGAAGATAACGTTTGCGTTTTGCCGATCCCTTTTTTCATGGGGACCAACGGCTCATCAAGGTGGTAACAGGAGTTGCAAGTTGCCTAATTTCCGAGCTGACACGCCGCCGCCCTCCCCAGCCGCCGCTTCCATGCAGTTACAAGCCCTGACGGCAGCTCTAATCGACACGCGCTGCTCAGAGCCCGCCGCCCGCGAGCCTGACGGGCTATAACTCATACTAACTGACAACTAGAGCTCAATCTATGCACCTGATAAGCCTGACTGCTAGCTCGCAGATGCAGCCCCCAGCCACGGTACGTAAACAGTAAGGGTCCGCAGCCTGGCTAAATCTGAGGCGGGTGTAAGCGGAGTTTAAAATACGCCCCTATACTGGGGTCTGCGTCGGCTAACGGACTACACAGTAAGTGCTAGATCCCTCAGCACCTAGGTAACTAAACAAAGTGCCGACATAGCGACAGACAGCGCTACAATCTATCCGGCCCGGCCGACCGCCCCCCCCGCCGCCTTCGCAGCCCGACGGCCCCGCCGCGCCGCCCGCCGCGCCCCTCCGGCGCGGCGCCCCAGCCGCGACAAACCGCTGCAGCACCGCCCCCGAAGAGCCGCCCGGCCGGGCCCCGCCTAACGTCATAACTGCGTGAACAGACGTAATCGTGGTGGAGGTGGAGGGGGAGTTCTACGTGAAAAGACCGCCTGTTGTATCCCAAATGTTTACCACGTGCAAGCGCTTGTACGATACACGCGGCTGCGCCGAACAACCATGGTGGAATGCACAAGCCGGCGAAGTGTATCAGGAACCTCGCGTGGCACTTCTCAAAAGAATGTCGGTGGATCGAAGGTTATGAAAGTTGCCCGACGAGAATGCGCGTACGTTTACAGTGTCTTCAGAAGTCAGATTAAGAAATGGAAAGCTCACATCGATTACGTGATACAACAGGCGCCAACTATTTGCCAGAAGCGAAATCTACGGTAACCACTCATCCATGCGTTACAGGCGGCGTACGCAATAAGGGCCGTACAGGCTGCAAATTGCACAGAGAGCTGCCAGGCCCTGCATAAACGCAATTAATGCAGG